CGGGGTATCCGGGAGGCAGGTTGGCAGTCCAGGGAGTGAGTGAGGTGGTGGTAGACGGCAGTGAACCGGTCTGAAACTCTCCCTGGGGTCAACACCCTCCCTCCCTCCCTCACCCCTCTCCCTTCCTCCTCCCTCTCTCGCCTAGCCCAGCTCCACCCTCTCCTCTCTCGCCTAGCCTAGCCCACCCTCTCCCTCTCTCCTAGTCCACCCTCTCTTCCAACACCCTCGTCCCTCTCTCTCTCCCACTCCATCCTATCTACCCTCCTAACCTCCCCCTCTCCCACGCCCCCCCCCTTACCTCACTCCCCTAGGTTAAAGGTAGGTTTAACCCGGTCACCTGAGCTTAGGTTAGGTTCCTGAGCCGCCGTGTTTACAAGACCTCGAAGGCATTTAAATATGTGTCTGTGTCACTAGGAGGAGGCGCTGACGTAGGACACCACCATGGCCGCCAGTGCCCAGGGCAACAAATACTGCTCCCTGAGACTGGGCATACACTAGGGGGGGTAGAGGGCCTGGTGTGGAAGCAAGTAGGGTAGTGGTGGAGGAGGGGTGGTGGAGGGGTAAAGAGGAGGGGTGTGTGGAGGGGGGAGGTGTGGAGGGGGGACTGAGATATGCGGTGGAAGGTAAGTGTAGAAAGTGAGAGGAAAGTGAGAGTGGTGTGAGACAGGCGTAGAAACACACACACACACACACACACATCAATATTTTCCCCGTAGTGCTAATTAGTGTTTCTTAATTAATCACTAGAATGTAATGATGTCACGAAAAGTACATGCTGAGTACACGCGAAAGTACTTATATCCAGAGTACACAAAAGGAAGTACTAATACCGAGTCTACACACAAGTACACATGGGTTTACAATACTTCAGAGTACACATGAGAACGCACACAAACACCCAGAGTACACACAGGGGGTTACATACACCCAGAGTACACACAGGGGGTTACATACACCCAGAGTACACACAGGGGGTTACATACACCCAGAGTACACAGGAGTTCATCGAAGGCCAAAGACCTCAGTACATGTTGCAAGAGACGGGATCAAGGCCTCGGGGCAAGACAGTGTTTTAATGCACGAGTTAAGCCCAAGGTGTACAGGCCTGGGGCAATGTACACACACACACACACATGGTTCCTCTTAGCGGATCCTACAAGAGCAGAGTTTAATCCCGTAAGACAGAGTTGGATCCTACAACAGTTGGATCCTAAAATGGACTCAAAGACCGACTTGGGTCCTATAAGACAAACATGGATCCTACTTGAATCCTGGAAGAGAGTCTCGATTCCAAAGAGAGACACTCAAAACCCATAAGAAACTCGAATCCTACAGAATACACTTGAAACCCTTAAAGCACACTTGAATCCCATAAAACACACTCGAATCCTCTAAAACACACTCGAATCCTCTAAAACGCACCTGAATCCTATAAAACCACACTCGAATCCCATAAAACACACTCGAATCCTCTAAAACACACCTGAATCCTATAAAACCACACTCGAATCCCATAAAACACACTTGGATCCCATAAAAACACACTTGAATCCTCTAACACACTTGAATCCTATAAAACACACTCGAATCCCATAAAACACACTTGGATCCCATAAAAACACACTTGAATCCTCTAACACACTTGAATCCTATAAAACACACTTGGATCCTCTACGACAGAAGTGGATCCCCCTCTGATGGCAAGCGAGCAAGACTCCACCCAACCCACACCCACAACCAGTCCTCCCCGCCTGCTGCCTCACCCTGTAGCCTTGACTCTAACCTCTGCGCCTTACACAAAAACATATACATACACACACACACGTAACCTAACCTAACCTAACCTAACCTTACTTAACCTAACCTAACCTAACTTTCCTTAACCTAACCTAACTTTACTTAACCTAACCTAACCTTACTTAACCTAACCTACTTGACCTATTTTAACCTAACAAATCGTTATCGTTCTCTCTCTCTCTCTCTCTCTCTCTAACACACACACACACACACACACACACACACACACCTCATCTGGGAGTTGGTCGACTTTTCTAAATGGGAAAAGCAAATGGACCTCACACACGCCATCATGTACACCTTTCAACGCGCACATCCATGTACACATCCTTAATACATACACAACGAACCCTCAAATCCCATGTGTACCTAAGTGATATGTACATTATCGAATAAACACTGTCAATACGTACATGACCAAGATTAATCCCCAATGTGTACACCGTCAATACGTACATGACCAATATTAATCCCTATGTACACACCGTCAATACGCACATGACCAAATTTAATACCTCCATGTACACACAAAATCAATAGGAAATTAACATCTTACAGTTAACACGCACATCCATGTATACATAGTAAAATGTACACATATAAGCCATGTGTACATTGTGTTCGTTAACTTTGTACAGACATCAACGAATATATGATTTTACAGGATTACTGGATACAAGGGGTCCAGTCCTAATGGGTCCAGTCATAATGGGTCCAGTCCTAATGGGTCCAGTCCTAATGGGCCCAGTCCTAATGGGCCCTATCCTAATAGGCCCCAATCCTAAGGAATGCAACTCGTAATTAGAGGTAATCACATCACATTTGATCCGTTTAAGTCCAGTTGGGCCCCATTAGAACCGGGGCCCATTACGATTGGGCCTTATTAGAACCCATATCCATTAGTAATGTACCTGGGCCCCATGAGAACTGAGACCCATTAGAACTAGGAGCCATTAGTACTGAAATCAATTACTACAGTATCCAAACCCATTACAACTAAACCCTATTTAAACTACCACCCATTAGAGACCCATTAGTACCAAAACCTCTAAGTACTAGGACCCATTAGCACTCAAACCAATTACTACAGTATTCAAACCTATTACAACTAAACCCCATTTGAACTACCACCCATTACAGACCCATTAGCACCTTGACCATTAATACTGACCCACGTGACCTGCTTTACAAAAAATACGAACGTATACACAAATTTCACCATTAAATCTGACTATGTAAATACGATTCCACAAACCCCGACTGCAATGACAGATTTACTTGCAATTGCAAAATAAACCCGACTACAGTAATGCAACGGCGAATTGAACTCGACTACAATAAACTAAATTAAAAAAAAATTAACTACAAAAATACAATAGTAACTTAACTAAAATACAATTAAAATAAACTTAACTAAAAATACAACAATAAAACTTAACTAGAGAAAAATACAACAGTAAATTAACTAAAAAAAACAATTAAAATAAACTTAACCAAAAACACAACAGTAAAAAAAATTACACTGTAATAAACTTAACTACAATACAACAGGAAAATAAAATTGACTGTAAAATAATAAAAAATAAATAAAATACTGGAAACTCGGGCCAGCACACAGGTGAGTAGGTAATGGTCCGTGACAACAACGAAAGGAAATAACTAAAAGAATGAAAGAAATAAAAGTGAACGAAAATGAAAGAAATGAATGAAAATTTGAAAGAACATCAAATTATGCAAATACAGTGAGGTGGAGTATCGCGTCTGTTTGTTTGATTATAATTTTTTCCCATTCCCAGGTAATACACCACTCACTCGCGCGCGCGCACACACACACACACACACACCTGCAATACATCCTTTCAACACATTCATTGCAATATATACTTTGAGCACACACCTGTAACACACAACTGTCACACACACCTACAACACACACCTAGCCAGACAACCAGTGTACCTATCAATCAATCACCCAACAGGACCAATCAGAGGCCAGCGTACGAATCATCCAGCCAATCAATGAACGACATAATTAACCCCAAAGTAATTTATTCCCTTCAACGAAAAAAAAATTCCCCACCAATACAACTTATTTCCCCACCATAAATATTAATCACCATTGTACGTTATTGCTGTCTCGTGTTTATCGCTGTCTTCTTCTTTCTCCCCGTCTTCATCTTTATCTCCTTCTTCCTCCTCCTCCCTCTTATTCTCCTTTATTCCCTCGTCTTTCTTCTTCTTCCACGTGGAGTGTCATCGGAGCCTCATTAAATCACCATTATCTTCTCCATCCTTCCTCCTCCTCCTCCATCCTATTATTTCTCCTCCTCCTTCATCTCTCCTTCCTTGCAATCCTCTTCCCCTAGTTCTCTCTCTTCCTTCTTCTTCCTAGTTGTCCTTTCTTCTCCTCTCCTATCTCCTCCTTCTCCTCCTCCTCCAGGGTGGACCGTCCCCTAACCATCACTCCATCACAATAAGAAGCTCCATCTGGCCTCCATTCCATCATGGTGATCGCCTCCACCCTCCTGGTCGCCTCTCTCCCTCTCTCCTCTCCTCCCTCCCTTGGCAACCTCCCTCCTTGGCCACCTACTCCCCTCTTCCTCCTGGTCGCCTCCTCTCCCTCTCTCTCCTCTCCTCCCCTCCCTTGGCAACCTCCCCTCCCCTGGCCACCCTACTCCTATTCCTCCCTGGTCACCTCCTCTCCCTCTCTCTCCTCTCCTCCTCCCCTGACCACCTACTCCCTCTTCCTCCCTGGTCACCTCCACTCCCTCTCTCTCCTCTCCTCCCTAGCAACATCCTTCCTCTTTCCTCCCCTCCGCCCTGGCCACCACCGCCACCTTCCCCTCCCCCACCACGACCGTCACTTTGTCTCCATAAGAGGTCGGTCTCTCTCTCTCTCTCTCTCACTTAGCAGCTTATCTCTTCACTGTCTCAATAAGTTATCTCTCTCCCTGTCTCCCACAAGTTAACTCCTCACTGTCTCCCATGAAAGTTCTCTCTCTCTCTCTCTGTTTCTCTTAACAACTTGTCTCTTCATTGTCTCTCTCTCTAATCTCTATATTCGACCGTTCACACACTCGACCGTTACACACTCAACCGTCACACAGTCACCCGTCACACTTAACCGCTACACAGTCGACCGTCACAAAGCCTCCCGTCACAATCCCCCTTACACATCCGTCTCACACTCAACCGTAACACAGCCTCCCGTCACAAAGCCTCCCTCACAGTCACCCGTCACAAAGCCTCCCTCACAGTCACCCGTCACACTACTCTCCGTCACAAAGCCTCCCGTCAGAATTTACTATCCGTCACAAAGCCCTCCCCTTACAGTCACCCGTCACACTACCTGTCACAGTTTCCCTCACAGTCACCCGTCACACTACTTCCTCTGCTCACAAAGCCTCTACAGTCACCCAGTCACACTACTCCATGTCACAAAGCCTCCCCAGTCACCTGTCACACCACTCTCCGTCAAAGCCTCCCTCACAGCCACCCAGTCACACTCACTCTCCGTCACAAAGCCTCCCTCACAGTCACCTGTCACAAAGCTCCTCACAGTCACCCGCCACACTACTCTCCGTCACAAAGCTCCTCACAGCTCACCACCGTCACACTATCCGTCACAAAGCCTCACAGTCACCCGTCACACCACTTCTCCGTCGCAAAGCCTCCTGTCAAAGCCCCCAGTTACACCATTTCCCCTGCCAGTCATCCGTCACAGCCTCCTCAGTCACCACCCGCTCACACTACTCTCTGTCACAAAGCTTCCCCACAGTCATCAGTCACCTGGGTCACACCACTCTCCGTCACAAAGCTTCTCCCCACAGTCACCTGTCACATTGCCTCCTGTCACAAAGCCTCCCACAGTCACCTGTCACACTACTCTCCGTCACAAAGCCCTCACAGTCACCTGCCCACCTTACTCTTCCGTCACAAAGCCTCCTCAGCCACCCGTCACACTACTCTACGTCACAAAGCCTCCGTCACACCACTTCCGTCACAAAGCTCCCAGTCACCTGTCACACTACTCTCCGCTCACAAAGCCTCCTGTCACACTCTCCGTCACAAAGCCTCCTCACAGTCACCTGTCACACTACTTCTCCGTCACAAAGCCTCCCATCACACTACTCTGTCACAAAGCCTCCCATCACACTACTTCCGTCAAGCAAAGCCTCCTGTCACACTCTCTGTCACAAAGCCTCCTCAGTCACCTGTCACACTACTCTCCGTCATGCCTCCTGTCACACTTCCAAGCAAAGCCTCCCCCAGTCACCCGTCACAAAGCCTCCCTCACAGTCACCCGTCACACTACTCTCCGTCACAAAGCCTCCCCCACAGTCACCCTCCCACCATGCCTACGCCTACACCTTCCCCAACCCCTATACATCCCCTCTCATCCTCAATTCTCCTACACCTTCTTCTCTCCCTCCCCATTCTCTCCTTCCCCTCCCCTCCCTAATCCCTCTCCCTCCCCTCCCCTCCCCTCCCCAGGAAGCTCCCCAGAGGCAGTGTCCTTATTCATATCATCGTCAAGCCCTCGACACACTCCTCCCCAGTGTTATCTCCCCATTGTTACCTCCCCATAATCTGCCCATCTATCAATCGATTTATCTATCCACCCATCCATTTATTTGTATCTGCCTATCTCTTTATCTATCTATCCATTTATCTATGTCTACTTACTTATCTATCTATCTATCCATTTATCTATATCTACCTACTTATCTATCTATCTATCAATAAAAATATGGATATTGTACACATCAAATACACTAAGTTAATTTTAACCACATTTTTCATTTGTCTTTCAGCTGCTTTATATATGTTGACAAGAGACAGTGCCGCTGACAGGAGGAGGTGCGCCGCTGCCTAATGGTACGATCTGGACCCCGAAGAACACCTTACCTCCATCAGGGTACGCATCAATAACGTCAATAACCATCAATAACAAAATGCGCCTTCAATAACAACACATGCGCCCTTAATAACCTTCAATAACAACATATGCGCCGTCAACCGCTAAATGCCTATAATCACAATTTATACACCTTCAATAACCATCACAATCACGTTCAATAACCTTCAACTATCTAAAGTAATAACATATACGCCGTAAATCACCGTTGTATACCTTTAATCACCATATATACACTCAATAACCATGAAAATCACCATCAACTACCTAAAATAACGTATACGCCCTCAATAGCTGCCAAATGCCTATAATCACAATATACCCATCCACAATAACGTCAATAACCACCAACTACCGTAAATAATATATGCACCCTCAAATACCTATAATCACAATAAATACCCCGTCAATAACCATCACATATCACCTTCAATAACCATCTGCCTATAATCACAATATATACACCTTCAATAACAGCCAAATGCCTACAATCACAAGATAACCACCGTCAATAGCCATCAAATACCTTACAATCACCACCAATAGCCACGTGCCTAAAATCACCACCATACTCGCCACAATTACCAACAATCACATCTCCACTTCAATTACCATACTAATAACTCACTCTCTCCTCTTACCATTTTTACCCTCTAATTTCCCTATCTGTCTGTGTTATTTTCCTCCCCTCATCAAGTTGTATAAAGTGAAGGGAATTCCGTGTACCAGCAGTTTCCCTAATTGTGCGTTAAGCATCAAATTCTTACACTATCGTAGGTTAAAATGACCTTAATGTTGCTGGGTTTATGAGAGCCAAGAATCAGATCACCTGGAGAATTTCCCCCTAAAAAGCCTTATTTCACCTGGAATTTGCACCACAAGCTTATTTACCAGAAATTTGCATCTACAAGCTTCTTTTACCAGAAATTTTCCCCAAAAGCTTATTTTCAACTGGAGATTTGCACCACAAGCTTATTTTACCTATAGATTCCTCCCAAGCTTATTTCACTTAAGATTCCCCACAAGCTTATTTCACCTCAGATCTTCCCCAGCTTATTTCACCTAATGCTTCGCTCCCTAAAAGCTTATCTCCAGGTAACTAAGCCCAAGACGCACACCTCCTGGCCTGGTCTACCTACACCTGTCACCTACATACCTGGCCTGGTCTACCTACACCTGTCACCGACACACACCTGGCCTGTCACCTACACACACCTTGTTGATTGGCGAAGGTAAATATTTACTTCTGAATAATGCTGCTTGGTTTATGGTCGTTCCTGTGTGTGTGTGTGTGTGTGTGTGTGTGTGTGTGTGTGTGTGTGTGTGTGTGTGTGTGTGTGGAGAGAAAGGTAGACACTGGCAGAGCAAACACACACACACTGGACACTATCAATTTCATGGTCAAATGAGGAATTAATACTATAATGAAATTCCACATGACGGGATTTTCACAATGCAATTCAGAACGCGTCAAATCATTTCACATCGGCTGATGCCTTCTGTTATAGTGTGGGTTAAAATCCACAATCTTCCCCAGAAATTTAGGATCGCGTCCGTACTTCAGTGATACATTTTCCCCACCAGAGTAAAGATTTCCCCCACAGGTCACGTATTTTCCCTTAAAAAAAAAATTCCCCCGAGTATAAAGATTTTCCTGAAAAATTCCCCACGAGATGAAAGAATTTCCCACGATTATACAGCCTATACAACATTCCCGACTCTATAACATGACTCTATACAACATTCCTAATGACCTATACAACATTCCACGACTTTATTGACCTATCTGTTATAGACATGGTGCAGGAATGACTAGGGGAGAATGGGTGGTTGTATCTTTTGTCAATGCCAGTCTGTCTGTCTGTGTCCGTCTGGTATGGAAGTATGTCTGTCTGTCTTATATAGAAGTCTTGTTTGTTGTGTTTGTTATTGTATGAAGGACATGGAGACTGCTTGTTACTCTATGGGGAGGGAGGGAGGAGGGAGGGAGGGAGGGAGGGAGGGGAGGGAGGGAGGGAGGGGAGGGAGGGAGGGAGGGAGGAGGGAGGGAGGGAGGAAATGAGATTGACTATTACACCTATTTGAGGAAGGAAAGACAGAAAAGGAAAGGCTCTCTCTCTAGCGGGCTATTACTTTCATTATGAATGTCTTCACAGCCCTTCCTCCTTATTCTCATTATCAATTCTTCCTGCTCTCTACCATAACCTCCTCATCCCTCCGACTCAAAACACCTTAAGAGTTAACTACAAATTACCCGTAAACAACAGCCAGACCTTATCATCGTACACACACACTTTTGTAATATTCAGAGTTAACGTGTGTGTGCAAGATTGGGAGAGCCCTGCAATTGCTAGCTAGAATCACCTTGCAATCACCTTTACCGTTGCAAACTTGCTAAATACAACTTGTTACAATTTTGTTTCTGTTGTTAGTTTTGTTATTATTATTGTTATTACTGTTACACGTGTTGTTATTATTATTATAATTACAATGAATACTTTTGAAATCATCATCATTATGGACTTATGTTATTATCACCATCATCACTATTGTTGGTTTTAAATATTATAGACAATAACATTATCACCATCATGACCTATCAAACAAGCAAACAAAAACAAACAGAAAGCTCAACCCAAAATAAACACAACCCACGACACTAAAACCTTTAAGTAAAAACAAACAAACAAATGACTTCCTACCACACACACACACACACACACACACACACACACACACACCATAAAGATGAAAATGGTAAGTCTAGTCATAATGTGTGTGTATGTATGTATGTATGTATGTATGTATGCACTGTATGTATGTATGGTTTGATTTATTTTATATCTGGTTTATTTCAATTTAATTTTTTTTATTTTGGTTTATGATTTTATGTGTAGAAGAATATTCATCTCCGGGTTACGATTTATTCCTAATTTATTGTAAGTTTATTTTATTTTCAGTTTTATTTATTTAATTGTGTATTTTTCCCCTTAAGTTTATTCTATATCAAAATAATATCCCAAAGCCTAAATAAAAAGTACATAACACCATCTTAATACCTATAATTCTAACCCTTACCCTCTCTACTGCAGTATAACACTATCATACAACAGCACACAAGGTCGAATATACCATTACAATATACCTTAACCTCACCCTTACATCACGGAATAGGTATGATAAGACTTATATATGTTTTACCATCAATAAAGGCGGAAATCCCACACTAATGCGGCTTGATCCTCCATGCCTCCTCAGTAATAAGGTCGAGAGTAGCGTTTTAACACTATCTACTACCCTTAGCTTAACTCCTCCTGTGTGTTTTATTCCAATTTCTCAAGAGATTCTCGTTTACCTTCTGAGATTGGTCATTCACTTAGAGCTACTGATGTCTCTCTCTCTCACACACACACACATTCAAGTCAACAAACAACATTCACAAACATTTCAATATTTCACAAACACAATAAACATGAAACCTTATTTTTTACACAACAGACGCAGGTGGGGAGTGAGAGGTCAGTGTAGCATTCACTTGGTATATACACCTGGTCATTACCCTCAATCACCTCCACCAATCACCTCCACCTAACACCTCCACCTAACACCTCCACCAATCACCTCCACCAATCCACCTCCACCAATCACCTGCACAATCACCTCCACCAATCACCACCTCCACCAATCACCCCACCAATCACCAGAAACACACAACCATTACCACCCATATCAACCCGAAAAATATCATCGCCAGTACGAGCAAACACCAGCGCCTGTGTTTTATCTACTATGCAATAACGGTGGTTTTAAATGGACGTTCAGTCTTTGCCTGTACTGTACTGGCGTTGGCTTGTGGTTGGGATATTAGAGCCCCCATGCCAGTAAAGACAGTGTCAAGCGGAGCAATCAACAGCGCCTGGCGTTCCCATTACTCCAGCTATGACACTGGTTATTTCCACACAAATGTTCATATATTCTCACCTCTCACACAAACACCACTCACAACCCAACCCAACCCCCCCCACACACACCAACCCAACAAACACACACACACACACACACCAGGTCAACACAAGCAAACAAACACACACACACACACACACACACACACACACCAGGTCAACATACAAACAAACACACACACACCAGGTCAACATACACACACACACACACACACACACACACACACACACACACACACACACACACACACACACACACACACACACACACACACACACACACACCACCACCACTACACACACACACACACACCAACCTCGCCCCGGGCAGTCATAACCCTGGCTAATAATAAACTACCAGGGTTAAAGACCATACATTAAACCAACGTAAAACCTACCCTAACCCACGACAAACCTACCCTAACCACGACAAACCTTCCTAACCCAACCCACGAAACCTACCTAACCCACGACAAACCACCCTAACCCAACCCACGACAAACCCAATTCTAACCCACGACAAACCTACTCTAACCCAACCCACGACAACCTACTTTAACCCTGACAAACCTACCCTAAACCCACGACAAACCCATCTAACCCAACCCACGACAAACCTGCATTCCTAACCCACGACAAACCTACACTTAACCCAACCCACGACAACCCACCCTAACCCACGACAACCCATCTTAACCCAACCCACGACAACCTACCCTAACCCATCCGACAAACCCATCCTAACGCACGACAAACCTACCCTAACCCACGACAAACCCATCTCTAACCCAGATTAACACGACAAACCCACCCTAACCCACGACAAACCTATCTCTTAACCCACGACAAACCCTAACCCAACCTAAGACAAACCTACCCTAACCCACGACAAACCTATCCTAACGCAACCCACGACAAACCCACCTAACCCACAACAAACTTACCCAACCCAACCCACGACAACCTACCCTAACCCACGACAAACCTACCCTAACC